TTGTTGGTTTTTTTTAAATCTCTTGCAAAGACAATCATGGCATTGTGAACAAATGTGCTGCTGTCACTAACCTGTCCTGCTGCAAACTGGGCACAACAGTAGCAAGATGTGAATGTCAGTGAGGACCTATTGAGCTGCTCTGACTACCTCTTTACCTTGACAGTATTCAGCCTTGCAGTCCCATGTTGCTGCCCTGAAGGCTCGCTATGAAGAACGTATCAGGGAGCTGGAGAAGGGCTCTGTACTGGAAAATCAGGAGAGATCTCCGCCTGCAGACTCTACAGAAGAGGTGAGCTGGCCCAACCAGGGTGGTCTGGTTTACCCTCATCTCTACTCCATATCTACCCTGAACTATTTCCCTAGGTAGGGGGAGAGTTATTTATTAAACACGCTGGAAGTGCCTTATTCTTTGGGGGAAGCATGCCCAGAGGATGAGCTTGTTCCTGTGTAGAGTACTACTCCTATCAAGGGCCTTAGAGGGAAAGATGCAGTGTGATTCCTGGTGTGAAGTCCTGACCCCCTCAATACAGATTACAACTTCTTAAAGAATGAAAATCCTGGTAGCCGTACCTGGTAGACATACCATTTGCACATGCTCAAGCTGTCACTAATTATATTTTGTGCACCTCTGGCAGTCTCCAGCCCTGCCATGCCTAATGTGAAAGGTGCATTCTCGTAAAACAGAACTGTGGTTCCTCTTGGACTGACTGTTCTGCTGTATGGAGAAGCCTACGATGTTGGTTTGGTGGCCCATTCTTTCTTACATGTTACAAATGACGCAGATATCGTATTTATATGCTCCTCTTCATTGTTCTCAGGTGAAGAAGATCATGAATGGGGTATTTCAGACTTTGAGGGGTGAATTTGAGCTGGAGGAGTCGTACAGTGGCAGAACAGTTCTTGGTGTTGTCATGAACACCATCAAGGTACAGTACTGATGGGATACAAGCCAACAAAGGTGAGAATGAGTTCTGGGACAAAAGAACGCATATACCTCTAGCCTGGATCTGGAATAGTGTGAAGCTGTGGTTAGTAACCGTGGTGAAAAGGGTACTATAAAATAATGGGAGGAGATGCAACAGTGAGGGACAGTAAAATATGAGAACCTTTTCTCCTAGAGAAACTAGGACAATGCATCTGATATGCTCAACATTCTTGTTGAGCTTTCACAAGGCAGTAGGGGATAGGCTAAATAAGAAAGGGTGGTTTAATTTGATTTAATATTATGGAAAATTGGGCACGAGAACTTGGAGTATTTCTTTAGAGGTAAAAACTACAAAGTGCAGCAATGCAAGCTGTCACTGTGGTACTGGAGGAAGTGGATCAGTCAGAGTATGGGCATTGGACATGGGTACCTAGCTCAGAGGACTGAGTTCCTGTTGGCTTTTTGCTGACTTGAATCTAAGAAGTTTGCTTTTGCCCTTCCCAATGTACTTTAGAAAGTACACATGGCACTTTCCAAAACACCCACTCTTCCCTCTCAGATCAACTTGAGAGATGATTTTGAGGATTGTTTTAGGTCCCTTCACCAAAAAAGGCTAAGAGTAGGGCTTAGTTCATGGCAGATGTCTCATTTCAACAATTAAGGTGGAAACAGTTTTTGTTAGAAATTAGACTTTGCCTCTGCCCAGAATCCCCACACACATAGGAGCCTCAGGATTGTCAGGTTAGGTTTGGGGCTGCAGTAGAACTTTTACACAGCCAGAAGTGAATTGGACAAGTGCTTCCTGTGTTGGCACTTGGGGGTAGGGGAAGCAAGGGTTAGGAAGCTGAGAGCATCAAGGATGAGACATGACCTTTGACCTCCAGGACACTGACTCAGTCCTGAACATGTCAACAGGTGGGATGCTGAGTATTGGCCTGAGTAGTGGGAGTTGGGTGGCAAACACACGTCCACTCAGTGGCTGCTTTGTTGGGAGGCTCAGCAGAGAGGGCAAAGTTGGAAGTCTCATCTCCCCAAAGTGCACTTCTTGGGTTGGTTTCAAGTCCCATTGGTTAGGGGAAGGAAGAAGGACTGTGCTGTGTAACTGGAAACAGTGTTGCCTAGTGGCTAGAAACATGGGATTGGGAGTTAGGAAACGAGTTTTAATTTCTTCTCCCTCACCTCCAAGAACAGACCGTGACTTGCTGTGTCCCAACTGCCCAACCTTGGTTTTCCTGTTTGCAGGTAATGCATTGCCTGCCTCTTTGGGGAGAAGTGCTGCCTGATGCTTGTCTAATGTCCACTGCCATCTTCTAAGAGTACAAGTGCAGTAGCATTTCTACCTTAGATAGTTGCCTTCTGCAAGAGTGCAAGAACTTATCTGAAAATGCCTCAGAGGCCCAGCTAATACATGGACCACTCAAGTGCACTTGGCTGGATGATCCTCTTTCATATTAAAGCATCAAGAAACTTTCCTTCCTTCAGTGGAGCAGCAGCTGTTACATGGTGGTTTGTATCTCTAGTGAATAACACTTCCTTGCCTTTTCCTTTTCCTTTGTTTTCCAGACTGTAACTCTGCAGCTGCTCAGTAGACAACAGGAGAGACGAGACAGCAACAGTGACGAGGAGGAGGCGGAGCCTAGAACTGGAAAGAGGAAACAGGAAAGCCCACCAAAAGCAAAGGAGGACCATGAAGGTGCTGTCCAATATGGGCCAGCACCAAGCACTGTGTGCCCAACTAAACCAGCAGGTGAGTCTGCTGGTATTGCTACACCTCCTAGATCTCCTGAGGAAGGGCAGAGGACCCAGAACACTACAGCATCAGAAGTGAAGGTGATCCAGGAGATGCATGAAGCGCATACCTTCTCTGAATCGGTTCAGCCAGTAAAGCCCAACCAAGGACTGGTGGATCCTGAGGAGGATGTAGACTCTGTACTGGCTGAGCAAAGGCAGGCAAGTGCTCCCAGTGGGCTAGCTCAGCATGAAGGCAGCTCCCAAAAAATAGCATCTGTTCAGGCAGAAACGCCAGAGCCTTCTATTCTAGACACAAAGCTGGGAGCAATGGAAGAGGCTTTGCCTTCGGAAACACCAGCTACAGAGCACAAGGCAGAGGAGCCTGCAGGAAGACTGGAACCCCTGCCTCTGAAAAGTGCAGAGGGGGGGAGTTGTCTGGGAATTCCAGATGCACCCAGGTTTGAAATGGGTACAAGCATTTCTGACTTAACATCTGAGATGGCAGAGAAGGATCCAGCCACCAACCATGAAACTACAGAACCCCAAGGACTGGCATCTAGCCCCAAGCAGAAGGATTCCAGGTTAGTGGTGATTGGAGAGTTCTATGGCTACAGTAGCTCCTTTCTCAATTTCCCATTGTTGTGCAGTTGCCCTGCCGCTGGTGGTGGGCTAGTGGGGCCTAACGATTTGGCAGCTGGTGCTGCTATCCCATTGGTGCAGGGCAGTGTGCTAGGTTGGGCTGGCCAGCCAGCTAGGTACGTGTTCAGAGCAAATCTGAACAATGGTGGCTAAAATATTAGTAGCACTAATTTAGACTGGACACCTGCAGCTATCTCCAGGGGAGAAACTGAAAAGTGCTAGTATGGCTGAGACCTACAGGATAGGTGATTGCAGAGCTGCACTACAAACTGGGCAGTCAGTATGGTCCTTGCCCCTTGTTTCTAGCTGAATCAGTAGATTCCATTGCAAAGCTGTTATCAACAGCTAGCTATTGTGAAGTTCCATTCCAATGTGTGATCTTGTCCTGGCTGCCTAGAGGGGAATCCTGTTACTTCACTGTATAATCCCCAACTAGCTTCATACATCCGTGAGTAGCCTGTTACTGCCATACAAACCTGAGTGGTGGGACTAGAGCTTATTCCTAAAGTGCAGGCAAATTGCTCTTGGCTTCCTTTCCCACATTGAGAATTAGCTTCTTTTAATTCTCTGTTCTTTTCTAGTCTCACTGAGAACGATGATGACTTGTTTAAAGTTGCAACCCATAAACCACTAAAGCCTGGAGTTCCACCCGAAGAGGAGGATGAGGAAGAAGTGGTAAGAACTTGGGGTGTGATCCACAAAGTAACTTAGAAACCTGAACTCCAGAGTTAGGCACCTAAGTCTCTATGCACAGGACCACTGCAGTCCACAAAACTAGATCTTCTTAAACACCTCATTGCGCTGTGTGCACTGCCGTACGGAGTGTGCCAAAGAGTGGCAGCGCACTCTGCAGCAGGGCGCAGCAGATGGAAGGATCAAGGCATACAGCTGCTGCCATGCCAGCCCTAGGGGCCGGAGGCACTGCAGCAGCAAAAACAGTTTAGGTTTATGGGGAAGTGTCGGGATTGGGTTGAAAACAGCTTGACCCTTGAGGGCTCCAGTCAGGTTGGGCCTAAAAGTTAAGGGAAACTCCTGCTTGGTTGTCACCTAACATTATAGGTGCCTAACCTTCACTGGAAATGTTCCCTAGACACCTAAGTTCTAGATCCTGGGGTATGTGCACTGCTGCCTCCATCTAAGCATTCAGGCGCCTGTCTCCTACCTAAGCCCGAGGGTGCTTTGCGAACCGGGGAAGACTGGCGTTCGTCCACCTAAGTCGAGGACCGTTTCGGTAGGCATGCTCAGAGGCTGCCTGCTGGATTAGGTCTCATACAAAATCCAGGAGGAGATGGTGCTAGTGCTCAGTCATTCCCACTCTCTCAGGCCCAGTGACTATTTAGATATTTGTTCCACTGGCTGGGGATAATCATCGGGGGGGGCGGGGGGAGTGTGGTCTGATGATTAGGGCACCAGCCTGGGAGGTAGGAGGCCCTGGGTCCAGTCCCCGGGCTCCGATCACTTTTTTCATTAGTTATCCACAGTGGAACAGCTTCAGCAGGAGAGAGAGGGAGCCTCACATTAAAATATCCCAGAGCCCAGTGGTTACAGCACTATCCTGGGATGTGGAAGATGCAGGTTCAATTTCCATCCCCTGCCTGCAGGGGAGAAGGAGAGGTTCCTGTTCAGATCTCTTCTCCCCTTGGGCAGGGAGGAGAGGTTTGAACCTGGTTCTCCTACATCCTAGGTCAGAGCTCTAGCCACTGGGCTAAAAGTTGTAAAGTGGATGGTACCACCGCATGTAGAGCAGCACCTAACTCATTATTGCAAGAAGCAGCTTAAGCAACTCAGCCTCCTGAGTCCAGGCAGGGGTATCCCATTCGCAGAGCGGGTGGGGCTCAGCGCACACTCCCCTACTTAGCATCTCCCATTGGTTAGCTTAAGTCGCTCTGCACCTAGTGTGTTGGCTTTTGTGGTGCCTATCTCTCTCCATTTATTGTATAGGGCACCTAGGGGCCTGACTTGGCTTTATGGATCAGTGTTCCTGTGATTTTCTACGTGCCTAAAGGTTATGTGCTGGGCCACTCAGCATTGTAACATCTAAGTCCCTTCATGGATACCACCCCAGTCTTTCTGTTATCTCTGAAATGACTGAGGCATTAAGCCACAGCTTGCTCTGGAAGAACTTTCGAGACATGGGGGAACCTCATGTCTGACATCCAGTAGCTTCAGGTTATCACTACTTATGCGCCCTGCATTTACTTTAGTTCTGATTAGTTAGGTTTTTGGGAGCCCCTCTGAACTGGAGACTGTCCAGTGAATCTGAGACATTACATAAGGGATGAGCTACATACATAAAGGCAGTGACCAGCAACACCACCTGTCTGGTGACAGGTCAGCAGGAAAACAGATCACCAGGTTCAGAGCTAATGTACTGTAATGATGGGACAAGATAGACCCTCCTGCAAGGGACATCTAGGGGATGTTAAGGCTCCATAGCCATATTCTGTGACTGCAGATCTTCCTACCTGATGTAAAAGGCTTGAGCCACCATGCTAGGTAGAGGAAGACAGTCCGCTGGGAGGTTTCCTGGTGCTGTCTCTCTCAAGACTGTACAGAGACTGAACTCTAATAATCTCACCCTGCTTTCCAATTGGGCTTTCAGAGCATGAAAGGACACCCTCCCCCAGCCCCACTCTTTGGGGATGATGATGATGATGATGACCTGGACTGGCTGGGATGAAGAGTTGGAAGATGATTTGGATGTGGCTGGCAAGCAAGCCTGTGAGCTTCCCCTTTGGGCATATGGCCTCTTCTCAAGTGTATTTTGCACTTACCAGCTGCATTTCCTTGGGATGGAAATGGAACAGGGCTTGGACTCTCCAAGTTCCCCGGGTTGCAAGTTAACCGGGGCTATAAGCAAATGACAGCACTGCTGGGCAGTTGGACCCAATCTCGTTGGCCTGATCAGCTAGCCCGGTTTAAGCAGCCAGCCACTCGTCCTGCATGTTCCTGTCGCTGTCCTTTTGTGTGAGCCATCAATTTGTTAATCTGAAACTCTGATGTAAGTATGAACTTTGTAACCAGTTGTGGAATAAGCAAGTCTGGCAGTATTCTGCAGCGGACACAGTGACAAAAACAGGGCAGAGAAAATTGCTCCTCTCCCAGTACAATTGATACTAAAACAACAAATATAGAATTCCAAAGATCTGTGGGATGTCAGATTAACCCTCCACTAGAGAGACTTCAGACCTGTAGGGCTTCACATCCGGCCATCACAAACATGCTCACCAAGCAGTTAGATGCCAATTGAAAGTACATGAAGTAGGTTACTATGGAGACTTCTAATCCGAGTATTTCCTGCCCACGAACATGCCTTGTGGAAACTGAAGGAGTTGAGGTAACATAGGCTTTGAGTGTTGAACACTGAGCTGTAGAAAACAATAAATGGTGCTACCCAAGCCAAGGGCTACTCTGCAAAGGCTGTGAATTCATCACAGCTCCATGGAGCTCTGACAGGCTGAGACCAGAGTGCCAAGAGAATGAATACTCTGTTAAGTATAGACCTGCAGCTTCTAGTAAGTGCTTTAAAGATTCCTCTAGTGTTTCCCATTGTGAGAAGTTAAATCCCTTTACCCTCCTTCACTAAAATGAGTGACACAGAATGGTTATAGTATGTTCATGTGTATCCAGTATGTTCTTAATGTGTGTGCCAGGACATCCTGTAAAACTAATCCAATGGAGGCAGCACGCTGGCTGAATATAGGACCAAGAGTGAGACTGAGATTGCCTTTCTCCTAGCCCTTTTGCCTTTTGTGAACCTTCATCCCTTTAGGGCTGAGCTATCCCACTAGCCTCTCCAAACCACAAGCCGAAAAGCCTGCAGTAGAGGCAGCCGGTTGCTTACCAAGTGTACAGGTCCAGTGAAACAGTAAGAAAAATTTGCAGTTACTATTGACTATTTAACTGTGTATGGCACTTAGCAGTAGTTCAGTTCTGATATGATAAATATCTGCACAACAAAACTTTTTGCCTCCTACTCACTGCAGTCTGACACCGTGAAACCATCGTGTCCCATAACCCCTGGCTTTTAGTGCTCCCCACCAGTCCCACCAAAGGCACCTTTGTCACCGCACAGTCTGCTCACACCCCGTCCTTACTTCACTTACATCATGTATGTCCGTCTGTGATGCAGGTTAGATCATCTCAGGCTGCACTTTGCCATTGGCAATAGAAACCCCACAACAACAGCACTACAGACAACAAGATGTTAATGGGATCCCTGTCCAGACAGAGTTACTCCGGGCAGTCATTTGCCAATCTGCTGTGCCTTTTTTCTCTGCTGCTAAAGGTGGCAGGATTATAGTATAAAGTAGAACTCTTTAGATTAAAGGGGCACTGTTAAATTATAGATGAGGGTGTATATATCTTAACCGGCTTATTCAGGACACCATAGGTTATTGGAACAGAATTTGTAAATCCAATTTTCATTCTTTGTGCTCTATTTACTTTTGCTTTTCACTCAGCTGGGAAGTTTCAATCTTATTTATGTTCATTTTCTAGTCATTTTACTTCATGTACACAACCCTGCAGCATTTTGAGTTGCAAATATTGCACATGAGGGGAGGGAACAAATTGTCTTTAAAAACAAACATTTCCACTTAAATTATAATAGCGTAATGGAAATTTTTTAGATCTGTCCTAGGTCTGTGAACACTTTTACAAAAATACCTGAGCAAAATCTGCAAGTGTTCTGTTAAATATAGAATAACTTGTTTTAATTCAGGCAGTGCAGAGTACAAACCTGATTGACAGCAGTGACTCACATACCCAAGGGCTGCTTTGTTCTAGTGAATAAAAATGGGATAAGTAGCCAAATTTAACTAAAAATATGAAAGACTAAGTCCTGTGAACCAGCCAATGTACTGAAGTGTAAACAGTTGTTTCACATAACTCATCTAGCTTGGGGTAGAGCACCTTGCTCTCAAGTAGAAACTATCTAAAGTCAAAGTATGGAATAAATGTGTAAGAGCAAAGGGATTAACACATGTACACCAGGTTTTCCAGAAGTCCCCTTCATTGTGATAGTCTCTATGTATCTGTCCTTTAACTGTGGTCTTTGGAATCAACATGTCTGTGGAAACTGTAAAAGCCATGTCTGTCTCCTACACAGATTTGATAAAACCTGAAAAATAAAAGTGCAATTAAACAAATCTATTTCTGGATCACACTGTCTTTAATTCCTGCTTTTAATGTACATGTTTGGATTTACAACTAAGCTTGGTGAGCTATGCAAACAACTCATTTTATTCATTCTTTGTCCAATTTCCCTGAAATTCCTGTCCGAAAAGAGAAATGGAGGCCTGTCGAGGTGATCCAGGCTTTTTAGGAGGTCTCTCCAGAAGGGTGAGTAGAGCCTGTGCAGTTAGCCCCAGAATCGGGAAGTGACTGAGCTGCTACAACATCCTTTGCAATTCCACAGTTCTCAGCATAATTGTTGCTTGTCTTAACAGGCCAAGCTGCTGCCTTTTTGAGGGTGTGAATTAATTACACCAATGGGAAAAACTCCTTCCATGTTCAGAGCAAGTGTGTACCCTACAGTAACCATAGGCGCCGACTTCCTCTTCTCCCCGGGGGTTGGTACTGATTTCCCACCCTCCCCACACACACACCAACCACCTCTTCCCCCAAGGGCCCACCCCTGCGTTGTCCCCGCTCTTCCCTCTCCCTCCCAGTGCCTCTTGCATGCTGCAGAACAGCTGTTCTTCTTCGAGAGATGTCCCTGTGGGTGCTCCCCTCCAGGTGTTAGTGCGTCCCTGCGCCTTTGCTCGGAGATTTTTTGCAGCAGTACTCATAGCGGCCACGCATGCTCAGAGGCTGCCCCCCGCTGTGAGTCTAGGTTGATAGTACGCATGCATGGCCGGTCTCCTCAGTTGCTTCTCTACCGTCCTCGGCCTGAGACGGAGCTCAGCAGACTCGTTAGGAAATCCCTCACTCTTGCTACAATTACCCTTCTAGTAACTAGTTTGTTGTCAGTTCTTTGTTAGTGTAGTTAATTACCTCGTTTATCTGTTACAAAAAAAAAAAAAAAAAAAACTTTTTTTCTGTCAGCCGCAGCCGCTTCGGCCATGCCGGGCTCCACAGGCTTCAAGCGCTGTTCTACATGTAAGGAGGCTATCCCGCTATCAGATGGCCACTCAAAGTGTATAAAATGTTTGGGGGAAGCCCACATTCCCCAAAAATGTGCCCACTGCTGTAAACTCAGTTCCAGGGCATGGAAGGACAGGGAGCTTAGACTTAAACTGTTCCTCCTGCAAAAGTCTATCGGGTCAGTTTCAGACCCAGGCGCTGAATCCGGCTCCGCTGCCCGCCACAGCCCCCCCGCCTCAAAAAAACTGAAAAAATCTACAAAGAAGGGACAGCCTTCTTCACCAAAGAAGGTTATGAGGCACAAGGTTTCTTCAGGCAGATCAACGGTCTCCCTGCCTGTGTTTCCTCGCCTCAGCAACTTTGATGAGCCCGGCTTCTCAGGAACCGCGCGAAAGCCGCCTGAGGCTGCTGCTGCGGCGGCGGCGGCGCGAGGCTCCGGTGCCGAGGCATCAGGCTTTCAGTTGCCTGCCTCTATTATGGCACCGTTCGGCACCGCGACGGACGCGGTGCCGACATTTTACAACATGCCTGATCCCCTGCAGGCTGATGTTGCCCGCCCGGCACCGACCGCGGCACCGACAACCGCGGAGCAGACTGACAGGGAGATCACAGGCAAAACCCCTGCTCAGAGGAATGTTCCCGCACGGCAACCTCCCCCTGCACAGCTTTCACCTCACGCAGGAGCCTCACCATTTCAATTTACTCAGACAGCAGATCTATTGGTATCACCTATCCTGCAGTCTCCCCTGATGAATGCCTGTTCTTCTCCAATGCCTGAGTCAGGATCTGAGCAGCCTTCCTCCAGTGAGGAGGAAACTGATCCACAGGGAGTTTTTTCTCCATATCAAGACTCCCACTCCCAGACCCCAGTCAATAGAGGTTATAAGAAAACTACCTCATCCTACTCTCATGATCCTGCCTCCTGGGGGGTGAACCCCTGGATGGCACCACCTATGCCCTACCCACCACCATGGCAATATTGGACACCATGGGCATCGTACCCTCGAGAATACGTGCGCTATGGCAATTTGACCAGGCGCAACACCGGTCTAGCACCACCACCTGACGAATCTGCCAGTGACACGAGACACCTGGCAGCACAGTCACACTTCCAGGATAAACCTAGCCCTGCTCCTATTCCAGCAGAGCCGGAGCTAACGCCTGAAGAAGCCTTACTTCCCCTTTCTCCAACACCGTCGGATGACTACGCAAAATTCCAAGACCTCTTTAAAAGAGTTGCCAGTGACTTGAGAATTAACTTGGAGGTAGTCATTGAACAACAGCATGAGCTAACGGACATCCTACAGCCCTCTTCTTCCTCTAGGGTGGCATTACCAATCAACGTAGCTCTTTTAGAACCCGCTAAGTCCATCTGGCAGACTCCAGCTACAAGCCTACCTACCTGTAAACAAGCGGACAGGAAGTACTTTATTCCTCCAAAGGGTTCTGAATTCCTTTTTACCCACCCGGCACCAAACTCATTGGTAGTAGACGCTGCGAACCAAAGGGCCAAACAACAGTATTCCCGTTCCACCCCAGCCAACAAGGACAGCAAATGCTTGGACCTCTTTGGTCGTAAAATATACGCATCCTCGACCCTACAATTTCGTATAGCTAATTATACTGCAGTCCTTGCAAAATATGACCACAAAAACTATAATAAATTCATGGATTTTATTGACAACATTCCAGAACAGAAAAAACAACAATTCACAGCTCTGGTTTCCGAGGGACAAAGCATATCACGCACCGCTCTTCAAGCGGCCCTCGATGTAGCCAACACTGCAGCAAGATCGACCGCCACAGCAGTAGTCATGCGACGGGGTTCATGGCTCTCCTCCTCTTTCTTTCCTCGAGAAGTTCAGAGCACCATTGAAGATCTTCCCTTTGACGGTGACAAACTTTTTGCTTCTACCACGAACGACGTGCTTCATTCAATGAAGGACTCAAGGGCAACCCTCCAGTCTTTAGGTCTCCAGACACCTATGACCAGAAGACGGCAATATAGATACCAACCGTACCAACGTCCACACTATCCCGCATTTACACAACATTCCCATAGACCACAGGAGCAACAACAACAACAACGTCAAAGACCAAGATTCCAGCGTCGTCGTCCCAATTCTGCAGGGGCGCCTCAACCCCCTCCAACTAATAGGCAGATTTGAAGCCTTGGTCGAGGGTTTAGAAAACAGCGTTCCCACTTCAGCCAACACACCTATCTTTGGACACCGCCTACAACCATTCTCCCACCAATGGAAGAACATTACCTCCGACAAGTGGGTCATAGAGGTAGTTACAATTGGATACGCCATCCCCTTCCTCTCCTTGCCTCCCACCCACCCACCCTCCCCGTCCCTCTTCAGGGACCCCTCTCATGAGCAGCTACTCCTCCAAGAAGTGCAACATCTCCTTCATCTGGGAGCAGTAGAAATCGTGCCAGAACGACACAAAGGGAAGGGTTTTTACTCCCATTATTTCTTAACAGAAAAGAAAAATGGGGGATGGCGACCAATCCTCGACCTCAGGCGGCTCAACAAATTTGTCAAAAAGCAAAAGTTCAAGATGGTTACCCTCACCACCATAATCCCAGCGCTGGAGCAGGGCGATTGGTTTTCTGCCCTCGACCTACAAGACGCCTATTTCCATGTCACTATACATCGGGCCCACAGACGCTTCCTTCGATTTACCCTCGGCTCAACACATTTTCAATAGAGGGTTCTTCCCTTCGGACTGTCCACACCCCCCCGTGTCTTTTCCAAGCTCCTAGCCGTAGTCACTGCCTACCTCAGGAAACAAGGGGTCATAATATTCCCTTACCTCGACGATTGCCTCCTCAGAGCCTCAACGTTCGACGAAGCTCTCCAGGCTCACCGTCGATTGTTTCCTATCTCTCGGCCTACAAATAAACAAAAACAAATCCACATTACGCCCCACCCAGCACCTGGAGTTCATAGGAGCAGACCTCGACTCCCGGACGGGGTTGGCATCTCTCCCACCCGACCGCTTCAACTCCATAAGCCAACTGGCAACAAAAATTCGCAACAGTCCCCAGGTGACTGCCCGAGACTGCCTACAAATACTAGGTCACATGGCCTCGTGCACTTTTGTCGTCCAGAATGCACGCCTCTACATGAGGTGCTTCCAAGCGTGGTTGGCCACGGTTTACAGACCGAATGTGCACTCTCTAAACAAGACTCTCTCCCTACCTGTCCGAGTCAAAGATTCTCTACACTGGTGGACAGTTCACTCCAACCTCTGCTCTGGTGTCCTTTTCTTCAGCAGGCTCCATCACTCATCCTGACCACCGATGCATCTCTGACAGGCTCGGGTGCACACGTCTCACCACACAGTACAGGGGCTATTGTCGTCAACCGAGACCTCCCTGCACGTAAATGTCCTGGAACTTCGAGCTATTCGCAATGCATGCCGTCACTTCCTGCCACTAATCAAGAATCATCACGTACGCATAATGACAGACAACATTGCATGCATGTTTTATGTAAACAGGCAGGGAGGAGCTTGATCCCATTCGCTGTGCACAGAGGCTATGAAGCTCTGGAATTGGTGCATTGCGAACAACATCCGGGTATCGGCTGCCTATCTTCCCGGAGTAATGAACACCACAGCGGACGAACTAAGCAGACGCTTCCCATGGGACCACGAGTGGGAGATAGACGAGAAAACCATTCACAACATATTCAGCACTTGGGGTTACCCAACCATAGACCTTTTTGCAACTACAAAAAACAAAAAATGTCCCAATTTGTGCTCCAGAGCAGGACTGGGCAAACATTCCCTGGGAGATGCATTCATGATCCCATGGCACCGAAACCTACTCTATGCGTTTCCCCCGATATCAGGACCCTGTTGAGAACCGGTAAAAATACGAACAGACCGGGCCAAGGTGATCCTAATTGCCCCGTCGTGGCCCAGACAACCATGGTTTCCGTTCCTCACCAGAATGTCAATTCAACCACCAATCTCCTTGCCTATCATTCCGAACCTCCTATCACAACAACACGGCCGCTTGCTTCACCTCAAAGCCTGGTTCCTACATGGTTTTC